ACTTTACAAAATAAATCAAAAATATACTAAACCAAGAGGTGGCCGGCTGCAACCCTAGTCTATTTTGTAAAGTATGGAATCTTGCTCTGATGATGTCTCTCACGGTGGTACAGACGAAAGCTTAGCACAGTTTCATTGGGGTTGTAGTACGGTGAGACGAGGACTTATTAGCACAATTCAATAGACTTCCTTACGCAACAATCCTCCTTTGGTTTCCGGTGAGACCATATCATTTATTATTTCCAACCAACTTTCCCTTCGAAATGGAGAGACATGCCACAATTGTGTGACCTAGACATTCCTTTGTAGATAATCTGACTATCAGCCCCTCCACCATTGGTCTTTGTTTTATGCTAACCTATTGCCTATTAGACACAGATGAAATTATCAGCCTTGCTGAAATGAAATATATAACTAAAATTTGTTTTATTTAGAGGTTCGGATAGATGCTACGATACCAAAGGACTAGTATCCATTTTTATTTTATAAGTAACTTTTCGAGACTAACAGTAGTCATATATATGAAGAGTAGTCACCCTATTTCATCCAAGGTGAAAAGGCGACTGGTTGAATTTTCCAACCTTATGTCTCCATTTTATTTCACAGCCTCTTTTCCCAAAACGTATTCTCATCTCGGCACGAGTGGACTGCAGTTTCTACCTCACCTAGGTTTCATTACCATCTCCATCAAGAGTTGAAGCTCAAACGAAGTAGAGAGAATACACTTTATATATATGGTCTCCTGGTAGTCATTATAACTTAAAACGGAAAATAAGTCGGATAGTTATCATCAACAATCTCACTAATACATGTGATATAGGATAACGCCTGGCCTTCCATGAAATTCCCATCTACCCTGCCGCTCAAGGGTACTCATGGCAATGTGGCGTAGTGGCTGACGTGTTGAGAATTTACACTGCAGTGCCATGGTTCGAGTCCCGTTGGGGGTATTGGTAAGACGTAGATGAGGTCGAAATTATGGTCCACCCCTGCCTTAATGAAAATAGCTTTTGGGAAGCAGAGCTATATTAAATTAAATGGAAACCTAAAGTCTAATCATATCCTTATGGGAAAATTCAACTATCAGTATTGTAATCATATTTAACGGAATAGGGTGAATGCACCTTATCCATCCCGGGCTATTGAAATTGGTATTTGGCCATAGATTTACAAGAATAGGTTTAGAAGACAATTATAGTTACTGCTTATGTCTGAGTAGATGTAGGCGTAGAAAGAAGAATGAACCATCGTGGGAAGGAGGCGCGAAATGGTGAGCAGAGTTGCCATTACTTACTTGGTCTCAATTTGGGCTAAGCCAAACTTCAACGGTTTGGAAACCCTTCAAACTAGACATGAACTCGATCTAAGGTCAAATGTTGCAGAAGTAAACTATGGTAATGTGTTGTAGATGATTTTGGTTTCAAGGAATCTCTTGTTCCATAATTTTTGAGCTCAGTTCCATTTCGAGTGAAAGTGTTTGGTGAAGAGATTCAAAGGTCGATTCTATCAGAAGACGACGGCGGATTCGTCTTGATCAGCTGTCGATTGGCTTTACTGGAACATTCTTGTTGACGCAATTTCCGATATAATCTTCTTTGATTACGGTGAAAGGTTGCTAAGCTTTCGTCTGTCATATGATTAACATCATCAGAGCAATATATCAAGCTAACGAGTCAAGAAAAATCACCGGCACATCCAGAAAAAGCTGTATATAGAGTCTATATATGACTTCTCTCATAAGGTATAAAGTGATTTAGTTAATTCCAGTCATATGTCAACCACAGAGCATGTGAGTGTGTCTGTTTCTATATATGTATGTGCTTGTATTTGTTGCCTATGCAGAGGAACAAGCAATGATGGCTCAAAGTGATTAGGATAGCAAAAGTAAAGTCTGTTTTGGGTCATCAAGTTTTGATGACCACAATTTCCCCTTTCGACACATGTTTTAGCCATCGCACTGATTGCGCAAGTTCGGACAGACGTTCAGTCATGTTGATGGGCATTTATTTTGTCGTCATGTGACAGAGAAAGAGTAAAATGAGATGTATTCACACAATTTTGTTTAAGGTGATAAAGACTGGTAGAAAGAGAATTTTCCCACAATGATATGAGTTGAGCTGACGTTTCCATTTCATTTCACATAGACTTGCTTTCCCAAAAGTTGTTCTCATCCTAGTCTATGTGTAATTCAATGGAAACGTCAGCTCAACTCATATCATTGTGGGAAAATTTTCCTTCTAATAGTGAATACATCTCATAATACTGATTTACTGGTAGTCACGAAAACAATACTTAATTCGAAAAATAGAGAAAGAGTAGGCTAAAAGTACGGAGAAGTGACTATGATTAGAACCAAGACAAGAAAAGACTATGCAAATAAAAGTTGGGTTTCGAGGAATCTTGTGTCATAATTGTTGAACTTACTTCCATTTCGAGTGAAAGTGTTTGGTGAAGAGATTCGAAGGCCGATTTCACCAGAAGTCGACGGCAGATTCCTCTTGAACGGCTGTCGATTGGTCTTATTTGAACCTTCATGGTGACGCTGTTTTCGAGGTAATCTCCTTCGGTTCCGGTGAAAAGGTGCTAAGCCTTCGTCCGTCATATGATGAACATCATCAGAGCAGGGTATCATTGTCACAAAATACTTCAAGCTAACGAGTCAAGAAACCTTTTTACCGAAATCGAAGGAGATTACCTCGGAAACAGCGTTACCATGAA